GCTGCAGAAGCGGAAATAAACGAGCGTCGCCGAAACGGTGAAAGAAACCTCGTTCTTAAGGGTTTTCAGATTGTAAAAGTTCGGAGCAAAACGATCCCCAAGCCACTCTGGGTGGCAAGGGAAAGCTCTCCACAGACTTAAAAGTGTGCTACACAAATGCTCGCAGCTTACTAAATAAAATGGCGGAGCTGAAGTCAGTGGTGGATAAAGAAAAACCGGACGTTATCGCTGTCTCGGAAACTTGGTTAACGTCAGAAGTATTAGATAGTGAAATCCAATTGACGGGTTTCATAACCAGTAGGGCTGATAGACTAAACCGAAGGGGAGGCGGGGTTATTGTGTACACGAAAAGTACCCTAACCATAAGATTAGCTGAGACAGTAGCACATGTTTCAGGGACATGTGAACTGGTGAGATGTAAGTTGAAATGCCGAAGGCAAGATATTGAATTAGTTGTAGTTTATCGCAGTCCACAATGTGTAGCAGATGATTTTCTCCTCAGTAAACTTAAGTCCTGGTGTAACAACGGTAAAAGCATTGTAGTAGGCGACTTTAATGCACCATATATAAACTGGGTTAACTTAGAAGTAGAGTCATCTATATCGTCGCTCGACTCCAAACTGTTAGAAACCTCGATTGGACTAGCATTATTCCAACACATTAGAGATCCCACAAGATACGACTTAAGAAACTCTTCCTCTCTTTTAGATTTAGTCTTCACACACGGTGAGGACGTTGGTCAAACGGCTTTTCTCCCACCACTTGGGAGAAGTGACCATGCAGTCATCTTATTCAAATTCATGGCTGAAATTGCTTCTCAAACAATTGCGCCGGCCCGTCCTAACATATGGAAGGCAGATATGCAGGCAATTAACTCCGCAGCATCGGCTGAGAACTGGGAAATTGACTCAAAGGCATCAGTACAAGAGGCATGAACTCTATGCAGACAGTTATACAATCGGGTAACTCAACCATATATACCCTGGACTGTCCCAAAGAAAAAGAAACACGGACATCCCTGGTTAGGGCGGGATATTCGACGCTTACTAAGACAAAAGAAGAAATGCTGGGATGTTGCCATCCGCCTTAGCACAGCAGGTACGATGGAACACTACAGATCGATAAGAAACGTGTGTATAACTAAAATTGGGGAAGCGCAAAGAAAATATGAAATGCAGCTGGCAGAATCTGCACTCAAGCAGCCCAAGAGGATATTCTCGTACATAAACTACAGAACAAGGACTCATCACTGGATTCCCAACCTAATTAAAGTAGGAAGTGAATCTGAAATGATAGAGGAAGATCAGGAAAAAGCTGAGGTTATGGCTGACTACTTTGGGGCAGTTTTCACTCAGGAATCTCCTCTAGAGAAAGAACCAGACCCAATTACAGAGTCAACAAACCAGCTGCTCACCGTGGACTTCGACCAAAACGATGTGCTTAAGGCTCTTAGCACCCTAAACATGGAGAAGTCAACAGGACCAGATGAACTACACCCTAAAATCTTGAGACATTTTGCCGAATATATCGCAGCCCCACTGACTGTGATATTCAAAATGTCACTTGACCAAGGTGTGTCACCTATGGACTGGAAGGACGCAATCGTCACTCCCATACATAAAACTGGTCGACGACAAGTTCCATCAAATTACGGACCCGTAAGCCTCACCAGTGTTGTAATTAAAATACTGGAAAGGATAATCAAACGGACCATAACAGCATTTATGGAAACCAATAACTTGCTGAACATGGCACAACATGGTTTTAGAAAGGGTCTATCCTGTACAACGAACCTCCTTATAGCTAGGGAGCTCTGGATTAATGCGCTAAACAACGGAAACTCAGTGGATGTTGCCTACATAGACTTCAGTAAGGCTTTCGACAAGGTGCCAACTAATAGACTGCTATTGAAGTTGGCAAACCTTGGTATTGCCGGACCTCTTTTAAAATGGATTAAGGATTTCCTAGTAGGTCGTAGGCAAAAAGTAAGAATAAATTCCAAGTGCTCCAACTGGAGACCAGTACTTAGTGGAGTACCCCAAGGTTCCGTTCTAGGTCCTTTACTTTTTATAATGTACGTTAATGATCTTACAAGTATAGTACAGTCTCCAATGTTATTATACGCTGACGATGTAAAAATTTGGCGAGTAATAACTGGAGACACAAACGCATTTACTCTTCAGGCGGACTTAAATAATATGATAAACTGGTCTAAAGAGTGGCTAATGCCTATCAACTCGGAAAAGTGTGTCTACATGCACTTGGGGGATCCAAAGGTTAAAACGTGCAACATAGGGGATGTGTCATTACCCGTAGTCCGGTCTCATAAGGACCTAGGGGTGACAGTGAGCAATGATCTCAAGACGACGGCCCATTGCCGGGAGGTCGCAGTTAAGGGGTTTCGAACCCTCTGGGCTTTAAAAAGGACATTCACTAAGCTTGATACTACCATGTTCACCACATTATACACATCCTTAGTGAGTTATTTTTTTGAGAACTGTGTTCAGGCTGCAAGCCCCTGTTTAAAAGGTGACTCACACATACTAGAAAAGGTACAGAGGGCAGCTACGCGTGCGATTCCGGAACTCCGGGGTTTATCATATAAAGAGCGGCTTGAAAAACTGGACCTCTTTACTCTGTCCTATCGCAGACTAAGGGGAAATCTAATATTGATGTACAGAATAATAAAAAATGATTTGGGACCTAACTTATTCTCTCTCTTCCTTCCCACTAGATCGGGACACCTCAGAGGATATAGCACGCGAGTAGAAAAGCCAAGAACGAACAAAATACCCGTGGCATACAGGTTTTCACACCGAGTCATCAATACTCGGAACCTGCTGCCTGAAGCAGTGGTGTCCGCACCTTCAATTGACTCTTTCAAGAGAAGAATGGACACTCACAGAAGCATACTAGAAAAAGAATAACATAGGCCGTAGGCCTTCTGTCCTTACTACACAAATCTGAATCTGAAATCTGAAGGTTGCTTTCTAATAAGCTAATCTGAAGGCCACACATCATTTGCCAAAGGTCGTCGGTATGTAACAATAATGAAAATAGTTAAATGTGACGCTACTAACGTGAGTCTGTCTTACTTAATGCAGTAAAGCAAATAGTAATTGTACTGTAAGGAGCCCTACGTAGTATGAGACTGCAGAGCTGTGGATAAAACTGTTTTGTAACAACAAAACTACAATGAAGTATCTGTGAGGAAATGACAAGTCCGGAGTGGATTATGTCGAATCAGGTACAATGCCCCAAGCAATCAACAAAAGAGAAATAATGGGGATCTTTCGTTAAAAATTGAGGGAAAACAGTGAGGCAAAGCGCCGAAATGTCTTCCTTTTCATCGGCTCCTCCTTTTCCCGTGTAGTCTGATTGGTTTTTAAGTTATGGCTTGATGATGATTTTCAGTGAATACAATAACGTAGTTATGATAAGTCTGGTATGGTTTATATATAATCATGTACAGCAACCAAAGTAGGGGAAATAAAGAGAATACTCTGTTAGAAACTAAGGGGTAAACAATGGGGTGATGCGCTAAGACGTCTACTTTTCCATCGTCTCGTTAGATTTGTCTTTAGGTTATGGCTTGATGGTGATTTCCAGTAAATGCCATTTAGGCTTTTTCATCACTGATATTGTCGCTAACTCAGCTTTTCCAGTGCCGACTCATCTCACTTATCTACTGAATTAACTGGTCTGAATATTCAACTAGAAATATGTAACCAATTTATGACCTCTACTCAGGTTAATATTTTAAAGCGCTTACAAATTCTGATTGGGATATTTAGTGAAAGGCAGGTTTCCTATTTCATGAGATTTAAAGTGTGACTTCATGTCGTTGTGGTTAACCAGTCAGTGTCTGTTGATATATGTACGTTGTGTGTGGAGCGATAAGACAATGTGATTTAGTCATAAGCTTTAGTAAAAGAATATTTAAATTGTTTATAAGTTTGAGATACATTACACATATAAGGTATTCCCAAGTTATAAAAATGTGTTGGTTTTTCTTGTGACCTAATCTGTGTGTTTAAATTAATATTGAGTTTACCGTAAAATGTCACATATCTGCATAAGATCAGTTCCAACTGTCTGCAGTCATTTATCAACGACCGATTATAGTGATGATTTGTAGAATGAGAAGGGATTTTGTCTCGATATTTGATATAGAATGGTAATCACGCCATATGCCTGCATGATAGATGAAATTCTCATGCTATATTTGGTACTCGAATGATAAAGAACATAGCAGTTCTCCATGTACATGTGTTCCTCCTTTGAGGAATAACGTAGTGATGAATATTAGAAAGTAATTCACTAAATGAAGATTCACAACACTTATTTCAACCGAATTGTTGGTTGGACTAGTAATTAATATAGTTTAGGTAGTCACCATTCTTCGGTATCTTGTAACAAATCATTAGAAATTTTCCCGAACCTAATCAATCTAAATACAGGAATATACACACCATTATAGTCTCGGTCTCGAACTTCCTTTGTAGAACATGCTTGAGAAGACTGAGGATTTTGATCATTTGACTAATGATTTAGGGCACATTCTGTCTGATAGTTTGCGACATGTAGATGGCGATTTCAAATATGAGTTGTCTTTCACTGCTTTATCCGATCTCGATACTCGATTCATGCTGATGCTCGACAAGAGTATGATGCCTCAGTCCAACACAGACCATTTCAGACCTGTTAAGAATGCCTGGGTGAAGTTTGCCTCAACGGCATCTGCATACGTCTACAAAAATGTTGGTGAGTCGGTTTCCAAACCCCTTCGAAAATGGCTGGCGAATGCTGCCAGTGCTGCGATTCTCGCTGGACTACTTGCAGAAGTGCCCAAATCGTCGGATTCACATAAACGAACTAGTTCTGATGGAAAGACATCTGTCGAAAATATCTCCACACCTGACAGAGTAGTGGAGAATATTAAGGATGGTGCCTGGTACTATGGCCGTTGGACCGTTGACAATGTTGCAAGCGGTTGTGAAATGGTGGATGTGATCGATGCTGAAATGACAGATGCATGTATTCGAGTGATGATTGCTGCTGTTGTTAATTATTTCCAGGAGAACAGATTTGCTCCGTGTGGTTTGTTGAGAGACAGTTATGCAAGTGCGATACTGAGAAGTGATCTAATGGATAGGTATGGGTTGACAGACGAAGGTGACAAAATTGTAGCGATGCGTATTACTGGTAGTTGGGTCTCGAAACTGTATGTGTTTCACATGGCGACGAAGCATCGTGATTTAGATCACCCAATCAGACCTATAAATAATGTTGGTTTGGTGCGTCCTCTGAAACTAGATATCAGTCAGTGTTTCGAGGACTTAACAGCTAGATTTATCCATATACGAATCGCACATCAGATTGCCAGTCGAATGGTGCGATCTGTGTGTATAGTGTTTTTCGAAGATGTGAATGAATTGATTCAGTTGCGGAAGCTGTACCGTCGAATATCCAGTGATCCATTTTATTATCACACTGACTGTGAATATTTGACGAAATCATCTCGACCGTCAGTCAGTGACAAGATGAGTAGTATATTTGGTCGATTGGTCACCTATTTGAGTGTTTTTGAGCCGAATAGTGAACTGTTTGATTATCCGCAGTTGAAAATGAATGGTAGAACTCGAGAACAACACTATGCTGATTACAGTAAGAATTGGAAGAAGATACTGGAGACGATTTATACAGAGTTGTATATGCCGAGTGGAAGTCGTTTATTGGATGTACTTAGACGTAGATGCAAGATTGCAGAAAATATCCCACAAAATGAAGTACTTTTGAAACAATGTTGGAATGAATATGGTGTCGGTTGGAATATTTCGGAGTTTATTTTCCGATATTCACTTAATCGTTAAATATTTTGTCTGTTCATTGACAACTCAAGATTAAAATTTTGTTATTAACAAATTGCAATATTATTCTTCTTATTCATAAAATTTGCTTTTTCATCAGTGATGTTGCTTTATGTGTTCACTGTGGTTTTGTTAACATATAGGTAATTGTTACAAGCACTTTAAGTGAATATAAGTGAACTAAAATTCAGATGATTTTAGTATTATCGATCAGAGTTTCTGAAAACTTAATTATTAGTAAACTTATTGTTACTTTACATCTGTCATTACATTGTATTGTTTGCGTTGATTTATCCATACTGTTATGTAAGTGTAATTGTGCACAAAGTAAATATTCGATAACTTTTCATGTATTAGTATTTCGTAAGATTCTCATAAATATTACACCACATTCAAGTTGCTTAAATCAATTGACTGAGTCACTGGGACAGTGTATGACATAGCAAACCAAATCAATCATGAGGTTTAAACAAATAATTAGTCACTAATGTGATGTGGTTAGTGGAATGATAAAAGCAAGACTAATCTAAGTTCAGTAGGGTATATATTTTCAGTATCCTTTTTTATTAATTTGATTCTTACCGAAGCTGATGTGTAAATCTAACTAACTTGATATACTTACAACCTATTACTCAGTAATAGGTGTATTTACCCGAATGCGTAACCATCTTAGCTGCCATTTGCATATACTGGTATAACCGAAGAGAGAGAGAGAGTTAAGCATATTTCTCACAATGACAAGCTTATTTTCAGTAATAAATTCCAAAACGGACCTATTGAAATTGTAAACAGAAAGGTATGAAGTAGTTTTATAAGTCATAAATACTTAGGTATCTCGGGCTCTATGCTGCCGATCGTCGGTTATGTCGTTGAAGGTCATCGTCAGATAGTTTCTCAATAATTATAATCTACTTCGTGAATTTACGAAGTTTATTATTTGTTAACTAACTACCGTTGCCCCTCGTGGAGCTTAGACCGAAGACCAGGATTCTCCAACCGACTCATCTGGGCACTATTCTCCAGTTGTTTTGAAATGCTGTTCATCTTTTTGATGACTGCCCTCAATTCTCTGTGTTATGTGATTTTGGTCCATATCAAATGTGAGTAACTATATATCGTGTTGTGTATGTATGCACGTATGTAATTCACATTAGGTATGCATAACATTATGCACAAATGTTGAGATAACCATACTGACTACTAGAATATTTACTCATGTGTATACAGTTATATATATCATAATATTATTTGAATGAATAGCATAGAAATTAAGAAAGAAATTGAATGAACATCCATTGATTTTACCTGTTGAAATTCATTAATCTTACTTGATTGAATGTCAATAGTTGAGATCATGAGTCAATTGAAGCTAGACCACCATTGAAAACCTTGAATGTATTAAAAAAACTAAACAGACTTATACTTCTAGTTCATTATCAATTTTATTTAAGGTATGATTTAGTGAATTAAGAATAAAAATTCGAATAAAGTGGTCAAAATTAAAAGATGATGGAAAAGATTTGTAGCTCACGTGGATGATTTTGGTGGAGTTTTGTTCTCTGAGCTGGGTGGTTTGGTCGTTGAGCTTTCAGCGTTCTTCTGAACGACATCATCAAGCGAGCTTTTCGAATCCGTGCTGAGATTTCGTCAGACACCAACCCATTAGGGCTGATCAAACGTACAAGATAAGTTAAGTTGTCAACGCGTTCGACTACTTCATTCCTTATCAGCTGATGATGTCGTTCAGAAGAACGATGAAAGCTCCACAACCAAACCATCCAGCTCAGAGAACAAAACTCCACCAAACGTCAATAGTAAAAATTTCTTTCATCGAATTTGTATTATCTAGATTGAGAATTTCCTCAAATATCAACAAAAAAAACTATTGGTCTAATGCAAATTTGATCGACAGGATTCATTTAGTTTTCCGGATTAGATAATAAAACTTGGTTGTTTCTAATTTATCAATTAGTTCAATCTCATTGTCATTTACTTACTGAATAGCACAATGGTAACATGTGCTCACTAGTGACTAGCTTCGTGAGGGAATTCTCGGAGTTCTAGTGAGAATTCGTGACCAGTGGAGCTAATCCGTGTCGGGTAGAGACAGGTATCTACCTCAGTACAATGGAAGGTGGTCGCGCAATTTCGTAGATTGGTTGATGTTAGACAATAACACCATTGGATGCCGGCTCAGCGGTCTAATGGTTAAGTGCTCAGGCGCGAAGCCATTAGGTCCTGGGTTCTAATTCCGCGGGGTGCGGGATCGTGGATGCGCACTGCTAAGGAGTCCCATACTAGGACGAAACGTCCGTCCAGTGCTTCCAGGTTTCCAACGGTGGTCTAACATCAATTAATTCATGATCTCAACCAAAAACTTAACAATCTCCACAACCCCCATACTGACAATGGTAACTACTGTGATTTTATGATAACATATAACCTAAGTTTAAATTCTTATAAAGAAATCACTCTATTCAAGAGCATATAAATATTGTTAAAGATGATCAGCTTTCATGAAATTTATTTCAACAATTTAATGTCAACTTCTTTCAATTAATCAATATTATGTAATATTATTATTAGCATAATATACTTTAGATCATTTGATCATAATAATGGATCATGATTTTGAATATTTTATTAAAATAAATTTTACCAGGTATCGGTTCTTCTGGTAGCACTAAGCAACAATGCTAGAATGTTTGGAATGTGGTTCTCTCCCTCTAAATGCAAGTTGTTGCTTCAGGACTGGTCTGCGTCAACATCTATACTAAGGATAGGGAGTGAAGTAGTCGAACTTGTTGATAACTTCACTTATCTTGGAAGTCTGATCAGCCTTAATGGGTTGGTGTCTGACGAAATCTCAGCACGGATTCGAAAAGCTCGCTTGACTTATGCCAAACTACGTCACCTATGGCGAAGGCGAGATATCCGTCTATCAATAAAACGACGAGTATACTGCGCGACGGCAGCGAAACTTGGCTATTAAGAGTAGAGGATACTCGTAAGCTATTAGTATTTGACCACAGACGCTTCAGAAATATTGCTTGCATGTGCTGGGACCATCGGGTAAGTAATAGTGAAATCAGACGCAGGGTATTGGGGAATGATGGTGGTAAATCAGTTGATGAGGTTGTGAATCTTCATCGACTGAGATGGTTGGACCATGTGTTACATAATCCTGAACACCGATTACCACGACGTGCAATGCTAACTGGTGTTGAGAATGGTTGGAGGAAAGTTAGGAGCAGCCAAACCAAAACCTGGTATCAGTGCTTGAAGACACTAACTTCTAGTCTGTACCATGTTCGTAGATGCAGACTACATGGTAAGGGTCCGCGTGACTATCGTAACCAATGGTTAGAGACTCTTGGTGACGTGGCTCCGAATCGATCACAATGCTGTAGGTGTATACACTCTCTGTCATCTCTTAAACTAAGAGATTGAAATCACTTCATACCTTTGTTTCTTCCTGCACTCTATCCTTATATACAATGTTTCTTTTATATATTACCACTATTGACTTAACCACTCCTATGAGTCCGGTGTTCATCTTACTGTGCTAATGCAGTATAGCAACTTGGACTGATGCATATATGTGACTGGTGCTATGTTGTAACTGACTGACTGACTGACTGACCAGGTATCGGTTTAATGTACATACAAACTATCTAAGATCATTCTCAATTTCCACAAGATCATTTCTAAACAACATTATATTTATATATACAAGTTTATATCTTAATATTATGATTAATTTATCATTTTGAAATGAATTCGATTGAAGATTCAATGTTTATCAAATGGATAACATTATTATTTCACTAAGTTTATGTGTTCACATATACTAATAGATTTTTATAATTAGTGAGTATACTAAGGCTAAAGTAAAACATTTAAATTCAAGTTTAACATTAAAACAATTAATTCTCAGCTAGTGAATGATTATGTGCCTCATCTAATTGATTCCCTTAATGATTGTGAATAAAGTTAAAATAAAAATTGAAGCAGAATAATATGAATTCATTGGATTTTGTGATATTTTATAAAAGTTGCTTACAACCATTGATATGTAGTAATGTGTAATATTGAAGTATAATATAATGTGAAATATATGTGAAGAAGAGTAGATGATTTCATTTCCGTGCACGTCTCAAAGAATTTCAAACTGAGAGATATAACAGCTTGAATTAATGCAGTGGCTTGATATGTAATTGATACCGGGTATACCGCTGACATTTCTCAATCCTTTAAAATTATCGGCAGACAAAACACTCCGAATCTTTCCGGTTAATCGAAGCAGTAACAACGAACAAACTTAAACCTGATTTATGCATCTAGAAAGAGACAGTAATCAACTTTTTATTAATTTAGTTAACTCACTTCCTTGACTAATTTCACCTGGAACTACTAATTCTACATTTATTATTATTACTGTAGTGCTTATTCTGTCATATGGTCGTCAGGCAAACTAATTGTTTTCCTCATATCAAATTTATTCTATCATCCATAGGCTTTATTTTATTCACTCAGTTCTCTAAAACTAGGTGAACTCTTCAAATCTTGTTTATTCATTGAGTAACTTATCATATCGATTTCTAAGTCTGGACAATTACCAACTCGTAACTAAACTTTTTTTGTACCTATTTTCAATTGATCTGAAACTTATGCTAACTGTTCACAACTTATCATATGACCAAACTTATCTCTTTCCGAACTTTATTTAATTAATGCCTCCTTCTTGTTGTTTTGATGGTGGCTTTAACAGTTCTTCAAGTTTTAGCTCCGTACAGTAGGACTGTCTTGACGTTTGTATTGAAGATTGTGACTTTGTTGTTGACTGACAGTTGTTTTGAGTTCCATATGTTCTTCAACTGTAGGAATTCGGCACTTGCTTTGCCCATTCTAGCCTTTACGTCTGCACCAGATCCTGCTTGTTCATCGATGATGCTGTCCAGGAACGTGAAAGATAACACAACCTACAGAGTTTCTCCATCACG